TAGAAGTTCTTCTGCGATAGCAGGTACTAGTCTGTTCAATAGTATTCTTGCAAGAATTTTACCAGCAATGGAGAGCAGAGTTATACCACGGTAGTTTGAGCAGTCTGACTTGGCACCTTTTTTCTTATACAGAGTGACGATGATTGCGTCACGAAAGTCTGACGGTATTTTGCCTTGTTCCCAACAGCACACAACTAGCTCATGAAATTTAGCGTGAAGTGCTTGGCCTCCATGCTTCCATATTTCAGGTGGGACTCCGTCAACCCCAGCTGCCTTGCCAGTTTTCACCTGCTGTATGGCCTTAAGAGTCTCTCCCATGGTAGGGGCTAAATCCAATTCGTTTTTCACCGGATGTTGCAGAATGTGCTGGATTCCTTCGCCTTGGACTACACGATTAGCACTAAAGAGGGTTTGAAAATGTTCAGACCAATGATTCAGGATGGAGATTTTATCTGTAAGAAGCGTTTGGCCATCTGCACCAAGTAAGGGGCTTTGAACCTGGAATGTGGGTCCATACACTGCCTTCAGAGCCTCATAGAATCCTCTGTGGTCACCCAAATCTGCACATAGTTGAGTCTTTTCTGCTAGGTTGAGCCACCACTTGTTCTGGATGTCTCTTAAGTTTCTGTTGGAGTTTGCTACATGCAAGACGAAAGGCTGCTTTTCTTACATGGCAGAGTGGCTGAGCGAGGTGTGCTTGATGAGCAGATCTCTTTTTTGTCAGCAATTCCTGGACCTCCTGGTTGCTATCGTCAAACCAGTCTTTGTTTTTCTTTGAGGAGAACCCAATGGATTCTACGGAGGACTGCAGGATGCTGTTTTTGATATGTTGCCAAAGCGCTTCAGGAGAAGAATCTATAAGTTGGTCTTCAAGCCTAGTTTGAAGGTTAGCCTGAAAGCTGTCCCTCACTGCAGCTATTTGAAGATTATCAACATTGAGCCTCCTCCTCGGAATGCCGCCCCTCTTAGGTTTGGGCTTGAAGTGGAAATTAAGTTTGCAGCGCACAAGGCGGTGGTCTGTTTGGCATTCTGCACTAGGCATCACTCTGGTCTGGCAGACATCACGAATATTTCTCTGGCGCACTAAAACATAATCAATAAGGTGCCAATGTTTAGATCGAGGATGCATCCAGGTTGTCTTCCAGCTGTCTTTCTGCTGGAAGATAGTGTTGGTGATGGTAAGCTGTTGCTCTGCACAGAACTCTAGTAAGAGATGACCGTTATCATTGCAGCTGCCAACACCGTGCTTGCCTAGTACTCCTTTCCAGGCTTCAAAGTTCTTTCCTGCTCGGGCGTTGAAGTCACCAAGGATTATGATCTTATCTTTTATAGGAACTTTCTGAGTGAGGTGACGCCGGTCGGAGTAGAATTTTTCTTTTTCTGCAGGGTCAGCTTGCAGAGTTGGAGCATATATGCTGAAAAGAACAACGTGTTGCTTATTGTGTAGTGGAAGACGTAAGGAGATAATACGGTCGGAATGACCTATCGGCGAATTTTCAAGTTTAGAGATGATGGAGTTTTTAATCATGAAGCCGACTCCAGAAAGATGACTTTCAGTTTTGGGTTTGCCTGACCAGTAGAGTGTATAGCCAGCACCATGTTCTTTGAGGCTACCTTCCTCATGAAGGCGAACTTCACTGAGTGCAGCGATATCGATGTTAAGTCGTGACAATTCATGGGCAATTAGCACAGAACGGCGCTCAGGACGCCCACTGTTCACTGTATCAAGCATGGTTCTGATGTTCCAACATGTGAGTGTCAATCTGGACACACCTTTGGAGGCAGGTGTATGCCTTTGTCTCTTTGTTTTTAATTGACCGCAATAGAAGATGCCTGTTGGCCATGGCTAGCCAACCAGGTGGAGGGGGAGATGAGCTTTGGTTAGGCCACCTTTTCTAGGCCTCTCTCCATATGGAGCAAGCAGTGCTGTCCTTGAAAAAGGCTGCTTGGTCATTCAGGATGCTGCCAAACAAGACTGTCATCTCCTGGGTCAGACTTGAGCGACCAATGTCCTGAACCGCCTGCATGCAGGGTTGGGTCTGCGACTTCCAGTGCACCTTATCACCTGCCGTTTCGTCCCTCGCCTGTCGCTGCAGGGCTTTGCAAGTGTGGGTAAACCCTTCGGGCCTGCGCAGTGGATTTATTTTAGGTGAGGCACAGCGTGCGCAGAACTGGCCTCACCCTTTACACCTGAGGTTTATCTGCCAGGGCCTAGCAAGCTTGGACGGTGACAGCAAAGTCCTCAGGTCGTAGGTTTAATTAGAGTATCCTTCTCTTAGATGGATGGCCTTACAGGGCTACACGAGCTCCATCTGCCCGGGTTTGAAGTTGGAGTTGTCCTTCTCCTAGGATGGTTGCCTGAAGGCTGGTGAGCCCATCCTGCCCATGGACGCACTTTGTCTGACCCTTCATTTGAAAGCTGACTGGCATGGGAGACCCTACCAGAAGCATAAGCCACCACCAGCATAACTCCCAACTTCACAAGAGCACGCAAGCTCTTTCCCCACGACAAGGGGGTGTCCGTGAAAGAGGTCCTAAAGGTGCTGTAGATCTAAATACAGCATGAACTTGAAAGTTTTCCTTCAACACTCCTCTATCACAAAAGGATTAAAAACTTGTGGGTTTTGGTTGATGGGTCTGCTGAACATGGAAATCGCTTTGCTCTCCTGTGTGTGCAGCCTGGTTGGTTTACTTACTCCTCTCTTTGGGTATTGCTTTTCCTGGAAGAAGACAACAGAAGAGAAGTTTAATGTATTTATTAACACATTAAACACAATGTGCTTATTAACGCAAACAGCAAATTTGAGGATGCATGAAGTATTTTTAAAACTTAAACATTAGGCTGTTTAAGTCATAATATAAAGAAATCTATGCTAAAAGAATTAAACTTTGCTGTTAGATTTTTTTTCTTCTTTTGATCTTTGCGTTTTGAATACTTCAGAGCTATATCAAATTTTCAGTACAACACTGATGCAGCTTTTCTTTCCAGGGGAAAAAAATTACCCAAACCAAACCCTTTTTGGTATTCTGATCGGGAAATGATGGATATTTTATGGAGGTGAACGTGTTGAGGACTTTGTGCTTATCAGCTGCCAAATCAAGGATACTGATGAAGTACCTGTTCAGAGGGTGCTGTAACTACAGAAACATGTGGTGTTCATGCTTGTTTCACTGATTCCAAGTCGAACTTGGTTCACAAGCTTGTGTTTTGTTTGCGGGTGGGTTTCATTAAGGAGTTTTAGCTGTTGCTCAGAAACTTAGATGTGGCTGGCTGCAGACATTTTTCCTGGTTATTACAGTGTCTACCACTATTAATTGTTTTTATAATTGTAATTTACTTAAACCCTTACATCAGTGATAATTATCTTGCTCTTTCATGACTGCTTTGAATCTTCAGAATTCACTTAAATAAGCATATGACTCACCATATGTGTGAGATGAGTTATAGCCTTACCCAGCATACTTGTCTGTTATCGTTCAGCTTCTGGGTAGAATGGAAATGCTTGCTGCCAGAGTTAATTCACCTGTCAGTAAATGCTTCTTGTAAGAAACATAGGTGGCATACTTGAGTTACACAGAAAGCACACAAAACCGATGGCTCTTTTCCCTGTTACTTGTGTAATGACAAGCAGGAGCAACTGCTGCTTAGTTATCTTGGTATTAGCTTGAGCAAAAGTAACTTTGGTCATATTATTAACAGTGTTAACCAAATTTATGTTTCAAATTGTGGATTTTTTCCTTTGAGGTATTGAAAGAAGCACGAGACAGTGTTAATACCATGGGCTTCTGACTATTTGAAGCCAAAATTATCTTGTTTTGAGAGTCTTAGTGAAGCTAACACATGCTATGCAACTTCTTCTGAGAGACTGAAGAGTCTTGGGTGTTCGTGTAAGGAAGGAATGGGGTTAGCTGGCTGGTTTTGGTCGGTTGTGTTAGTCATAAAGTGATGGTTGAAACAAAGGAAGTCTGGTCAGTTGGTTGCTATAAACTAATAAACTGCTTTTAAACAAGACCTGCAAGTGTAATGGAATGTAAACTGCAGATAGTTGTATTCATAAAGTAGGGCTGATGGGTGTGTACAATCAGTTGTTTGTGGCTTTCTGCTGTCTGATTTTTACTTGAGACCAACTATTTAATCCATATTCGAAGACTGTATATTTCACAATGTTTCCTGTCTAGGGATTTCATTGATTCAGGTTGTCTTTTGGAGACCACTGCTTGTAAACAATATCTGATTTACAGTGAAGGTCTGAGGGTAAACAAGATGCAAGTAAGGCTGGGTTATAACTGTTACTTTTAACACCACTTACTGAGATTGTCACTTTTAAAACTACTTCTAGCTAGTGACATCTTTCTGTTAACCTTTACTGAAGTGAAGACTTCCAAGTATTGTAGGCGATCTTATGAGCAGAACAAAATGTCTAGTAAATACAATGTATGAAGGCAATGGTTAGGAATTGGCATCTAAACGAAAAATGGAATGTTAACATAAAGATGTGAATCTTAAATATCAATGTTAACATTTCATTAATAAGCTACATCTTTTCTTTAATAAATGCAGAAATATATTCAGTTTTTTAGTTGCACACTTGGATACTAATGTCACTTAAGAGGCTACACTTCAGAATAGCTGAACTGAGGTGTTTGTAGAAGTATGCTACACTTGGGGTATTTTCATAGTTTGCATAAGCTCCGCACAAATCAAGTGTGCAGATCATCTGGGATTCTTCTCAAGAACAGCCTTGCATCAGTGGTTTCTTATCTGTCTCTAAGTTTGTATCAGATTTAAGCTTCTGGTTTATTCTTGGCTTCAGTCGAATTGCTCTGTCCTTATCCCTGGCAAATGGAGGGTGAGTAGAATGAAAAAAAAAAATCTTTGGTCTGGGGTGTGTGTGTGTTACTGTTTGTGGTACATCAGATGTAAAAAGCTCTTTCTAACTTTGAAGTAGTGACAGTATGCTCTATGCCTCTTAACCGTTGTTTTATGTTTTCTTTTACAGTTTGTTGCATAATTTAAGGACCCGGATATAAGGCTTGGAAGCCCATCCCTTGTGTTTCTTGGTTTATGACTGTCGGCTTTGTGGAATACGGCTGAGATGAAAGGATTTCTTGAGGATGCAAATTACTCCATTGGTCTGTTGGATGAAGGAGCAACTCTTGCAGATGTTATTGACAACTGTATTTATGAACACACTCATGTAAGTTTTGGGTTGTTTTTTTTTTTTTTTTTACAGTTTCCCAAATCTTCTCATTTAGTTATCTTAAGTTTTCAAACTTAAAGGCAAAGGTATCTAGCACTGACCTGACAGCAACAGAGGAGCAGTTGTTAAAACTCACCTGATGTAGTTTCCTCTTCTAATTTTTTGCTGTTTGATTGCCTCGGGCTGAATTCTTTGGGGGAAATTTGGGCAGTGTTTATTACCTCTCTGAATTTAGTGAGCAGGAAAGTAATCTTGCTGGTGTAATAACATACAGGTTCCCACCTCATTGTTTCAAGAGATTTTGTGATCAGCGGGATTTAGACCAGGAACCTGAAACTGGGCAAGTGGGTATCATTGACATAAACTTTTTTTTTTAATCTCCCTAAAAATATACCAAAGTTTAGACAGATATATATGCTGAGCCGGTTTAAAGCCATGTTTAGGATTTCTGTGGTCCATCATCATTGTATGGCTATGCGTCTTCCCGTGACCTTTCTCTTCATTGAAAATGGGTACAAGCATATTGTGAGGTGCTACCTTTTTTTTCTTTCAAGAAACTAAACCAATTACAGTTTAGAAATCTACTGGAAAGAAACTTAAATAATTCTGTGTATACAATACTAGTTCTATGTGAGGCAAGCAGATGTGGTAGCCTTTGTTTTATAGACAAGGTTATACAAAGAACGAGCTTTAAAAGTTTCAGTAAGCAAATCCTGTATCCTTAATGTGCCGTACCTGTGAGTTGTTAACTTTTCCCTTGGTTTATCAAAACTAATGTTAAAGCAGTGCTCAACTATAGTAGAGCAAATATCTAAATCCCATGGCCTTCTGAACTCAGGTGTAGGGTTCCCAACTCCTGATTCCTAATATTCTTTTTCTGTCTAGCAAATAAATAGGTAAACTACTGGCAACATGTCATGTCTTCAACCACTGACTGGCTCACAGAGGATAGCTGCCTCCTGCTGCTTTCATTTACTCCTTTAGCTCAAGGGGTAGAGGCCTGTGCCATGGATCTAAAGCTCCAGATCCCATTCCTGCTGGTGACCCGTACAGGGGGTCAGTATGCTTCCACCCGATGGAATTTCTATTTGTGTTTTTTAAACAGAAATAAAGACATTGTATACAATAAGCCACAATTTAGTTTCATATCTGCAAAAGTCAAGTGCTAGAATTAACATTTGATGTACAGTCTTAATTCAGATTGATTGTTTACTTTGTGATGGTCTTTGCTATACAGTAGGCCCTTCATTTACAGGAACTTTACTGAGTGCACGTTGTAAACAAAGAGAATCATCTGCTTGAATTTCAATCCACTCCATCCACATCGTGACTTGAGAAAGACTACGGTGGCAGATGCACAAAGGGGGCTGTTAACAACAAAAGTGTGCATTTTCTTAAAGATTATGTACTTGACTCTGCAGCCTCAACACACTGAGTTTAGTTCTTAAAATTCTGGTTGAACTTCATGCTTCCCAGCATGTGGAGAACAGTCTCAAACTTGACTTCCTGAATTAAAATACTATCAAATTTTCAGTAAAGTGAGCTATTAGCTACCTGTTAAAATAAGAGGTAGTGCATTAGAATTTATTCCTTATAAATTATTTTTGATTATGTGGAAGCTTTTGTCCCAGTGGATTTTCATCCTCCAAAAAATTGCAGACTTTGGAAATGACAAAGTTGGAAGAGATTTGTAGCATACTGTGCTTAGAGAAAATTTGGCATTTGGCATTTACGTAGTATCTTTTGTTCAGGAACCTCAGAATATTGTCTAAAAACATTCATAATTTCTCTGAAGTGGTAGGTATTCCCTCTTTGGTTTTTAACTAGTTCAAATTGCTAGGTGAAATTAAAAACAAAAGCATTGTTCAAGGTCAAACCTAAAAGTTAATAGCAGGTGAAATAATGTATGTAATTCTTTAAGACTATTTCATGGGTTGTTTATGTTTTGACAGCAAACCCATAATTTCAGACATTTTATTTTCCTGTTCTTCCTTTTTTAGACTGGAAAAAGAGCATTTTATGTTGGTGATCTTGGAAAGCTTGTAAAGAATAACATACAATGGCAGAACGTGATGGCACCAATAAAACCATTTTATCCTGTCAGATGCAATTCTACTCCAGGCGTACTCGAAATTTTGGGAACTCTTGGCATTGGATTTGCATGTTCCAGTAAAGTAAGTTTTTCTTGTCTGTGTATCTGTGTGCCTGATTTTCTTCCATATGTCTGCTGTTTTAAAATCAGCTTTTTTCTATTAAGTGTCATGGTTACAAATAATATAACTTAAATGGTGAACTCCTGTGTAACTGCCTGTAGAAAATCTGTACTTCTGCCCTAGAAGTGATTGATAGTTTTTTCTTTAGTGTATTTTACAACTTAGTACATCTAATAAGTAATAACTTAGCACATATAATAAAGATTCAGTGAATGTGGTGCACTGGACTGTGTCAAATGCTCCTGCTATGGTATGCTCCTGTTTTTCAGTCCGAAATGGCATTGGTACAAGACCTGGGCATTTCTCCTGAAAATATAATATACACAAATCCTTGCAAGCAAGCTTCTCAGATAAAGTATGCAGCGAAAACTGGGATAAATATCATGACTTGTGACAATGATACTGAGCTGAAGAAAATTGCACGTAACCATCCAAATGCTAAGTAAGTGTTGAAATTCTGGCTTTGCTGCTTATGTGGGGGTAAACATAATTTTGCCTGTATTGTGGGTGGTTGGAGTTGCAAGCAAGGTACATGACTTCTTTAATACAGTTCACTTCTATCTGTTTGCTCTTCTCTCTATCTCCTTTGAAGATAGCTTTTTTGCAACTTTTTCTCTTTTTGCAACTTCCCTTCAGCTTTTTCTGGGTCTTCTAATATGATAGTAAAGCCCTTGTTTTGGGAGAAATATTACATTTTTATTTCATAGGGCAATCTTCAGGTAAAGGCTTCAGTGATAAAAGTTCGGAAGTCTGGTACCTCATCATCTGCGAGTACATATTCCTGCTCTGTTGTGGCTTCAGTGTTGTCTTTCAGGATAGTCAGGGTATTAGTGGCTTCAGCTGAAGTCAGGGCTGAGAGTGTCAGCAAATGACCATGTGCACTGGGACCCATTGGGCTTGGCATGCTCTGCAGGTGTACTAAATATACCTACAGGTATTTCCCCACCATTAAACAGTGAGAAATTTGAGTCCAGTTCTGTTTTCAGTCACTTCAGTATTGGCTGAGGCACTTTCTGTGGGGAAGTGATCAAAGCTGATGTTCTGGTTGTTAAAATATTAGAACTGTATTCCTGCCAATGCATCCTGTCTCTTTTGGACTGACAGGTGCTTGTGTCATTGAGCATCAGGTCCCTCGTATGTGAATACTTTGGCTGTGGCTACACCTGTAAGAAATGTGGAGTCAGTGCCTAAGTGAATGTTGCAGTGCTTTCCAGTGATTAATGAGATACAGCTTCCCACAAGTGCCATCAGAGTACACCAAGAAACTGAATTCCTGACATCCTTTACAAAGCCCTTGGTTCTAGATGGTCCTTAAAGTGTCATGTCTTCTCCCAAAACTGGGGCTGTAGTTGTAGAATTGGGAAGATTCAACCAAGCTTGGTATCTGGAGACTGCTTAATCCACCTAGGTTGTTTTTTTACTATCACTCTTCAGACTACTGCAAGAGTTAATATTACCGTTACTAGTGATTACACTGCATCCTTGTGGAAGCCTGTCAGTGCTTTGCATACTGGGAAGTACTTCTGTGCGAAGAATGTTACGTGTAAAAGGCTGGCCTTGACATCCTCCATGCATCTGGAAGGCTTAGTAATGCTAAAGCTATCCCTAATGTCACTAGTGTTCTACCAGTCATCACTGGTGTTTTCAGTGTTTTGTTAAGTTTTACATTGAGTTAGTTCTTTAACAGCCTCTTTGGATGTTTATTGTAACATCCACAGCAGAAGTTAGGATGCAGATTTTTCTTAAGCCAGAGAAACTGTAAAGTGGGGAGAGAGAATGAAGGAGTTTGAGCTGGAGAAAACCAACATGAACTTGTTATTATTTTTCACGGATCCTTTAATATTTTAAAAAGTTCCTGTTTACCAAGGACAAGAAACTAAATTTCTGCCATTTGCCATCTAAATTTTATAGAAACCCCATCTCCAGCTCTCCTACTGGGGAGAGATTTCTTTGCTTGTTTTATTACAATTCTCTTACTTGGGTCATTAACACTTTGCTGAAGTGACAGCTATGAATTGTCTTCTTTCTTTTCCTTGGTCATAGTTTCAAAAAGTCAGAGCCTTGTTCTTCCTGTGTGTGGTTGTTACAGCTAGGTTGGCCTTTTGTAGCTGAATCTAATTGTGCTTTGCCTGAGGAAACCCTGCCTAGCTGTAATTTTCCTTCTTGTTTTCTGAAACGCTTTAACTTTCTGCACTGAACTTAGTAATGGGTGGGTCTCTTTTTATAATTGAGTTTTATGCCTTTGGGAGTCTCAGTAAGTTAAATGACGGCAATTTCTTTTTTAAAGAAAGATGCAAAATCTCAAAAGTGTTTAATTTCTTCATATTTGACTTTTTCAGACAAAAATTAACTACTGAGGTTGCTGGTGTACTAAGAGCTCTAGTAGAGGCATGGTTGTTAAAGTATCAATGCTTCCTTAAAAATAGAAAAACCCCAAACACACACATCATGCTGTAGCTTTGCACTAACTGCTGAAACCTCAGAAGAAGAATCCTACTAGATTCAGATTTACTTTTTCAGTGGTTTGCACAAGTATCTTGACTCTGGAACAGGCTGCCCAGGGAGGTTGTGGAGTCTCCTCTGGAGACATTGAAAACCCGCCTGGACACGTTCCTGTGTAACCTTATCTAGGTGTTCCTGCTCCGGCAGGGGGATTGGACTAGATGATCTTTTGAGGTCCCTTCCAATCTCTAACATACTGTGATGCTGTGTGATACTGTGACTCACTTATAATGGTGCCATAAAAACTCATCAATAAAACTTAACATTAGGTGCCTTTAAGGAATGGTTTTGTCTAATCATACGAGGTTATAAACCACAGTACTTATGTATTTGGGGTTTGATTTTGGGGGGGGACGACACGGTTGTTTTATTTGGGTTGTTTGGTTGTTGGTTTTTTTTCCACATTCTAGAGTTCAACTTCTGACACTTTTCTTGTTATATGTAGCACTTTTCAAAAGTGTTTTACAAGACACTGACTACAGCTTTGAACAGAATTGTCTGTGCTAGTGGGGAAGTGCAGGGAGGCTGTCAGTTTCTCAAGATGAAGTGGTCCAAGTTAAACTCCACAGGATTGCTGGGCAGCCTGTGTGAGCACTTAGGATTGCTTTATTTGCTTTTTACCAAATGAATTTAAAAAACATCATGGGGTGTTTGGAAAGGGCTTTTAGAAGTCAAGGTAGCTATTAGGCCAGTGTAGCTGTCTCACTGCATAATACTGTAAAAGATGGTACTTGGTGCCTTCCTGCTCCACAAGTGTCCTCACAGGAGGAGGGGACAGGTTGATACCCCCACCCAATCCCCATGTGCTAAGCTAGGTGGGAGGTGGAAGGATGTAGCCAAGGTGTGCTTTCAGTGTGTCAGCCTGGTGTCTTCTGCTGAGTTTAACCAAACCTGATACCTGACTGCCTGAAGGGGAATCTCCAAGCTCTCCTTTGGGCTAGGAAGGACAGATGGGAAAAGCATATTACAGTCTTAACAGTTTTATGAGGGAAGTATACTTTATAGAAGGTAACATTCTCTTTTATTACAGCACTCAACAGACTCTTGCTGCTGCAAAAGTCTTAGTTGCTGCATTTCGAAATCCCTTGTCCTTGTTGGCTCCATGTTTTAGCCCCTAATTGCTAGTTTTTTCTCTGTACAGGATTGTTTTTATTAGGTTCCCTTGACTCATCCATCGATGGAGCTGGAGTACTGACAACATAATCAACACACTTCTGATCTGACAGTCTTCAGGCTTCACATGTGCTGATGATGTAAACCAACTGCCCCAATCATCTTCCCCTTCTCTTAGGCTCTTACTGCACATTGCCACAGAAGACATTACTGCTGATGAGGAGATGAATATGAAGTTTGGCACCACCCTGAAGAACTGTAGACACCTCATGGAATGTGCTAAGGAGCTGGGAGTCCAAGTAGTTGGTGTCAAGTGAGTAACTTTATTGTTCTCTGCTTGGCTGAGCAGATGTTTGTATGATGAATTCAAGGTGCAGAATACAAAAGAACTTTTCCCCCTTTTGGCACTATTATACAGGGTAAAAAACAATAAAACCATGAAGCTTTTGGATCATGAGCTTTTGTTTGCAAGCAAAAAACTAGCATGAAACAAAGTAATTATCACAGACATCAAAGCAATTTGAAATAGAGTATCAGAAATTCTCCTGTCAGCATATAAGTGAAGTTTAGAAACTTTTGTTTTCTAACCATATTCTTGAACTTCTGTGGTAATTTGATCTGTATTTTTCACACAACAAGCAGCATAATATATAAGTGCCAGTATATCATGGAATAGTTTGGACAGACTTTGAGGTGAATGTAGGCTTGGATTTTCTAAGAGTTAGGTCCTACGTCACTCTGATCATATCAAGAAAAAATAGACGGCTTCAAGTTTTTGACTTGCAGATGGCAGGAATGAATCCTGGTGTTCAGAGAGCTTCCAAGTGATCTGTGATACTTTAAAGTTTGATAAAGATTTTACTATATGGAATTAAAATGCCTGTAAAAGTCTTTGTTCTATCTGCCTTCAGCCTACTAATTTGTCATGTGCTCAGGAAAGCAACCAAACAAGTAAAGAGGGTGGGTTATCAAGGCAATAAAAAGTATTTAAAATGGAAGCCAGGTTTTGAGGATTTCAGACAGATTTATATCAAAACAATTCTTTAAACTGATGCTAAAGCATAAATGTACTATAAAGTTTTAAAAACAAGTAAGCTTAAAAAGTGATCTTTGCCTCAAAATGGCATTGCTGTGGACTTGGAGTAGAGAGTATTGTGGCTCAGATGGGTATGTGTACGCTGTGTCCAGAACCAGCAGATCATACTAGTCTTTAGGAAACCTGTGGGAATGTTAGCACTTGCTTTTAGCACCTCAGTTACTACCAGTATTATAGCAGTACTTAAACCTAACCTTATGGACAAGGAACCAGAAGGGATTCAGGAGCTTGTGGGGGGCATCAGTACTGCTTCTGATGACATGCTTACCACACTGTTGGACCTTGCTGTGGAATAAGGACCTGGGCTGGCAGTGGAACATACCTCACCCTTTCCTGAATGCTGGAGAGAGTAAATAGTGTGCACAGGACAGCCCTAGCTTGGAGAAGAAAACTGGATAGCCTAGGAGAGAGAGTATCCAGGCAGTGCAGTACAAAGTAGGTTAAGAGAGGGGAGATTGCACACAGATACTGGATTAGCCTTTGGCAGCCGCTGAAGAACAAATCTTAACCACTTTGATAGTGAACAGTAAGAAATAACAGATTTACTCAGCCTTTCAAAGATGAGAATATTGTAGGAAATTCTTGACATGAAGAGCAAGTCCAGTGGTTAGAAGGTGCTAATCTTGTGAGCTTATTCTTTGCACAGTTAGTGTATTATCATCTAAGCTTCTCTTGAGCCACTTGGGAATGAATTGCTTCCATTGCTGTTTTAGATGGTGAAACAGTTCGCTTGGTCTGAAAGCTGCACTATTCAGTGTACTAACTGAGGTTTATTTCTTTCAGATTTCATGTTTCAGGCTCTTGCAAGGAACTGCAGACGTACATTCATGCTATCTCTGATGCTCGGTGTGTGTTTGACATGGCTGTAAGTAGATGCATGCGCACATGCAATTGCTGCAGTAGAGGATCCATTCTGTTCTAATCATTATTTCCAAAATATATCAGTGTAGGAAATGGAAGTTCTAGTGAGGGACTAAGTACTGTACTGTGAGAAGTGGTAGAGGTGAAACAAACTTCATAACCCTAACTGTGGACAAAGGTTAATGAATACTGTCCCACTGACAGGCAGTAGCCTTGTATGCTGTTTCCAAATAAAAAGTTAGTTTCCCACTTTTGTTAAAAGATTTTCAAATTCAAACCTCAGTTCTGCAAATACACAGTTGACATTTTCAAGTTGTATTAAAATATTAAGGATTTCTACATTGGCCTTTATCGTGATATAACCACTAATTTGGTGTATGTAATCTCAGATTAATAACTAAGCATCGTAAGGAATAAAAGGGTTATGTTGACGGTGGGCTAACCAAAGTTGGATGGAAAGGAATGGATTTATTGGGTGTTCAGATGACTCTTGTGAGTCTTATGTTCTGTGTGTATCTCTTGTACTGCAAAATTCAGAAATCCCTTCTCTGAACATCTGTCTTCCTCTGAGAAGCTTATAAACTAAATGGAGAAGACTGCAAGTCTTTACCCTTCTTACTGCAGTTAGTGCATTAGCTGTGACTGGTGACACACAACAGAACTGAAGTTCTCACTGATCTTTGTGCAGTTTCACTGCAGCAGTTTTGTCACATCAGCACTTTCCAAAGACTTGCATTAGACGTATTTGTAAATCCCTAAAATGTCTTTTGTCAGAATGTATCATCCTGCTCAGCAAATACTGTCTGAATATAACAAATGCCACAATATGGGAGCTGATGTTGCTATGGGACTTGAGAATTGTGCAGCCAGCCTCTGCTGACATCCCAGTGCTGTCGCTACCAGATTTAATGGAGCTATGCTAATTTCTATGATGTTGTTACTCCCTCATTAGATGTGCTCTGTTCAAAATTATAAATACCTAGAAAACAACCACAGTAAGGAGCAGCAAAAGAATGTTTTTACAGTTGTAGTCTTCTGTGTACTTACATTCTGCCTGTGCATTTCAGGAAGAATTTGGCTTCAAGATGAACATGTTGGATATTGGTGGGGGCTTCACAGGTTCAGAACTTCAGCTGGAAGAGGTATGTGACATATTGGAAGTTGGAGCTCATTTTTATTTATTTAAGTGTTTAACCTTCAAACTACAGCTAACATTGATAGCTGAAACCTAGTCTGAATTCTGTGTTCCAGTTCATAAGATCCTAATAGGTGGATTTATATTCCTTATCATGGGTAGTGAAGTCAGTTGTTGGAGAGGTCCCTGTTCACAGTGGGTGAATGCTGACTTGAACATGTCACATTTAAATTACTACCCTAAGCCACTTTAGCAATTCAACATCTTTGGCAGTTGACTGTTGTTGTCCAACTGGTTACCTTGTTCTGTGGTTTGGGCCAGGGTTGCTTAACATGCTTTAGATCAAAACTGTATTGCTGCTGTATGAAAGTTGCTGGTACTTTGGTTTGGCTAGCCTTTGCTTTGGCCTAAATGGGAGCTGTTAGTATGCAGTGGCACATAAGACAGTAGCCTGTTTACACTGTCATGTTGTCTTCAAGACAAACTCCTTGAGTGTAAGATGGCAAAAATGATTGAGTGAAAAGTTACTAAGAGCAAACAGGATTTTTCTTGCTTAGTTTTAACTGTTCTGTTACTTGTCCAGAACGCTTGTTAATCTTCAAATACCTGTTTTAGGATTCTGCTCTAATACAACAATATTGAGAACTGACAGGAGAAAGGCCCTTTCCTTGTTCTTATGGATTACTATGTAATTTTGCACTATCTGCTGTGCTGGACAAACTTCACAATTACTTGTGGAGTCTTGCATGTACCACAGCTTGCACTCTGTCTGCGCGGAGGGCCTGTGCAGTACTCGGGCTCATGGTGCTCAGTGTAAAGAAGAATGACCGATTTTTTTAAACACTTATGTAAATTCTGGACCTGCGCTAAGAGCATCTCTCAGAAGAGAGGAACAGCACAGGTCTTTGGTGTGCTTACTAGAACTGTTGCTGACTGAACGTGTGTGTGTGTCTGATACATAAGTAAGCTGAGTTTTTTGGTCTTACCTTTGACTCCCATTTCTAGGTTAATCACGTCATCAGGCCATTGCTGGATGTCTACTTTCCTAAGGAATCTGGTGTTAATGTGATTGCAGAGCCCGGGTGTTACTACGTTTCATCTGCATTTACACTGGCGGTTAACATCATTGCAAAGAAGACTGTTGAGTGTGATAAACTTCTTCCTTCTGGAGGTAAGGGTCATATTTATCTTCTACATGTTTTGAATCAGTACAGAATTGCCCTCTTCTAGTCAGATTGGACTAGTTTGTCTTAGTGCAGATTTAATTCATTCCCTTACATTTGCACTATAATCTACCGTTGGGGTTCTCACCATACCTTATCTGTAAATGTCACTTTCTTTATTACATTTATGTAACACTTGTTTCCTTGCTAGGCTTGACTTCTCAATGTTTAAACCTATATTGGGTGCTTTACAAAATGCATTAGGAGGTTCTGTATTAGAAGAACTTAGAGACAGCCACTTCTATGCTACAGGAGAAAAAAACGGATTTATATTCTTAACTGATTATTAATGACCATATTTATTTTATTAAACCTCACAGTTAACGTTGAAACTGAATTTATAATCTGGTCTCACACAGATTACTCTGCTCGTAATTCTCCCATTCCAGTATATGCGGAACCCCCTGGTCAGGAAAAGCAGTTGACTTAAGTTAGATTGCAAAAGGACTACTTATGAACAAAAATGCATGCAAGACCACTTCTTTTTTACTTCCAGTGGAGCAGACCAGGAATGATGATGAACCAGTATTTACGTATTACATAAATGATGGTGTTTATGGTTCTTTTGCAAGTAAATTGTCTGAGAAACTGAATACTATCCCAGAGGTTCACAAGGTAAGTCTTTCTGTGTTCTTCAGAGGTAGTCCTTACTAGCCTAATATTTTGTTGTATATTTAACTCTTCATATATATATAATTATACTATTAATGATAATATTATATATTATATTGTAGTAGTATCCTATTATTTAGAAAATTATCCTTAAGTATATTTGAAAACTTTCTTATTCAATAAACTGAAGCCTGAATTACCTGGATCATTTCCATACAGAAATACAAGGAAGATGAGCCTCTGTTTGCAAGCAGCCTTTGGGGTCCATCCTGTGATGAGCTTGATCAAATTGTGGAAAACTGTCTTCTTCCCGAGTTGAGCGTTGGAGATTGGCTGATCTTTGATAACATGGGTTCTGGTACCTTAGGTGAACAGTCTGCCTTTAACGACTATCAGAGGCCACTGATTTACTACATGATGTCTTTCAGTGACTGGTAAGGAAATTGTCTTGATAGTGGCAAGATTGTTTTCACTTCTAACGGGTATGCTTACAGCCAAATGTAAATCATATTTGATTGTGAATACAGGAAGATGGAACTGAGTACAAGAAGGTGCCTTTTTAGTCCATGGGTAGTTTGGTTTCCTACTGCTGTCTTGACTTTGCTTAGACTAAAGAGCTGTGATACCATGCCTGCTTCGCTTCAAGGTTGACAAGGGAAAGCAAAACACCTAGTGTTGACTCTGAGCACAGTGTGGTATTTGTTAAACTTTTTACTGTTTGACATTGTCTCTGAGCTTTCCTAATACTGGTAACTGCAACTTCTGTACACTGTTAACACCATCATTGTAGGCAGGAAGGGCAGTGAGGCTGTTGTGGAGATGATGAGAGTTGGGGAACCTATTCCAATACCAAGGCAGCCAGAGCCCTATGCTTCTGACAGTGCAGTTGTGGCCTTCCTGTGCCTGCCAAGCATGGCTGACGGTCCCTGCTGCTGAGACTGGGGCCAACCTGCCCAGGCCAGCAGACTTCTGATACGAAATTGTACATGATAACACGTTATTACAACTCTCACTGTTGTCTGCTGCAGGGATGAGATGCAAGATGCTGGAATTGCTTCAGACACATTGACGAAGAACTTCTTCTTTGTGCCTTCGTGCATTCAGCTGAGCCCGGAAGACCGCTTTTCCACTGCAGCTTAAACAGGCATTAACGCTTCATTTAGACCTGCAGTTGCAAGTCTGTAGTTTGTCTGGTCAACATTCCAGTGTGGAAGAAATGGAACAATCTTGAATTCAATTCATTCTCTTCAAAACTTGAAAAAAATTAATAATAGCTAATGGGGACCAGGCAAAACAAGCTACAGCTACAATTTATGGGGGGGGGGAGGGTTAGATAATGGTGTCCAAATTTAAAATCAAGTTCATTCAACCCCTGAGCGTTTAAATATGCAACAAAATGGATGACTTAGTGGAGATGGAAACCCATCACTTGGGTTCTTCAACAGTTTACATACAAGTACACAGTTTTTATACTAAGGATTCCTGTTAGAAAAGTCTTGTAAAGTTATTGTCTTTCGCCCAGATATATCAAATGTCAGTGGGAGACCAGTGTGACTTCATTAGATGTTTAGTGTATTTAGAATGTGTAAATTTGTGCTTTGAACTGTAGTTTAATAAATGTAAAATTGCATCATAGTATTTGTTGTATTTGACCCTTGATGTATCCCCTGTATGACTGCAATAAAACTTTGTGTAGATTTTACTGTTTTTCAGGCTAACTTTGGGAGGGGCTAGGCAGAGGAGGCAGCTGCACAACAGATGTATCAGGAGTGCTTTGAGAAGCCTTCTGCGGTCTAGTCCATTATTTCAGCTTTGTATTAAACTGAAAAAAATGGAGGTTGATTAAACCTGCATGAAGTGAAAGTCGTACAAGTTCCCAGAAGGCAAACAGGTCACTTGTGGTGTGTCTTTTAGTGTGTGACACTAGGTTCAGGTCTGAACACCAAACAGCAAACCTGCACTAGACACATGTACACAGGAGCGGTGCTCTTAGCCAGCCCACAGGTAGTGTCCCCAAGGCAGCATGGGTTAGTCTAGCTGCAGCTGGGCACAGACCCTTTAGCTCTGTTCTTTTCTTTTTAATGGCAGTTACTGAATAGTCTGGCTTCAGACTTCAACTCCTTTTGTACAGTGCTGACCCATAAGAGAAGGACTACACGGGTCTTCAGCACTCTCTTGCACTTGATGCAAGTATTACCTCCACAAAAGAAAGGTAAAGCACACCACTAGAAGTGCAGTTGCCAACTGCAGTGAGTAACTGGACTGCTGACACAGTTCAGAGCTTTGCTTTGTTACTGGAGCCTCCAGATTTACTCAAGGTCTTCTTTTTTCATTTTAATTCCCCCACTTGCAAACTGTGAGAAGGAGAAGGGCTGTTAGGGCTTCGAAATGATGCAGTGTAAGCTCTGGATCCTGCAGTAAAGGAGACTTTCTAAACACTTCAGTTGGAGGTAACATTTCTACCTTTGGGTTGCAAGTATATTAGTTTACATGAGTGCCAGCTGGTGGGAACTCGAAAGTAAAAGAGTCTCAATGTGGACTTGTCAGAACAGTTTTACAGGCCAGCTAAAAGAGGTACAAAAGGGCTTCTGTGTTCAAGATGCAGCCTAAAAATTTCTACTGGAATTAAATGTCAATGTAGGAAAGGGAGTAAATAGTGATAGTGGGAAAGCCGTGTGGCTTTGGTTTTTCCTTTAAAGTTACCAGCCATACCCATGTTTCAAGAAGTGATATGTGCTTGTCTACCAGTTGAAGTCTCATTCTAAGGCAAAACAGGGACTGCTGCATGGTTTTTGGTTAAATACAAGCAAGCTGCCTAAGATAACAGGATTGACAGAGTGGTCAGAGAAGTCATTGTACTTGAAGGCGGTTTGCTATTAAAAACAGCCTGGAGTTTGAACACAGTATATATTTTGATTTGATTTGCACAAGTTGCTGTTCATATCATAATTGTCATTCAGCATTTTACTTGGAAAATACAAATTGGTTTCTATATAGTGCTTGGAACTAAGGGAGCCTGGGGGTGCTCATTTCCAATGGAAGACCCAAGGCTGCAACCCAAGAAACCATGTCACTGGTGGTGCCAATTATCCCTTGGGAACAGGAGAACACGATTCTGTGTTCCTATGTGCCTAAGCCACTGCACAGCTGCCTTACCTTGGTCAGAATAAAAGCAGGTGCCTTGGATTCACTATGGGCTGTTGTACCTCTTCACGTATACTCTGTGCCCTGCAGGCTGTGCTAGAAGGGGAGTGGTGGGTAGTGCTGGTACTGAGAGCAGGCAATGAGGATCTCTTTAACCCAGGACTGTGGGGCTATGCCCTGAAAGCCTGACACAGGGGTGCCTGCCTGCTCTGCATGCCTGGGAGTGGTGTGGACCCCCCCTTCCTGCAGTCTCTATCCCTGGAATAACAAGCTCTCACATTTTAATCTCTTTGCAACTAGTCTTTAATCTGAATTAGGGGCGTTAATAGGATTGCCCTCTCAGCTGCTCAGGACAAGGGTAATGGTATTTCTCAGCCTAAGTGAGAGAAGAACAACTTTCGGGGAGGTGGCAGCATGAGTGAGTTCCCCTGCCTTCAGTCTGACCAGCTCCTCCCCGTTATCATCTCTGAGCCAAGAGCTGCAGCTCCTGTCACAGGTGGGTCTTCCTCCAAACCATGTTTGTTGCCATTCCCATAAGCTCTGTTAAAAGTAGTGCTTCTTTTGAGTGTCCTCTGATTGAACTGCTGCAGTGGGCAGTAGTGCAGTCCACAACCTCTGCTAAACATGTGTCGTGTAACAGCGCATGTCCTGCTCTGCTACTTCAATACATGATAAATACTTAGTGTCAGTCAAAGATGGGAGGGAAAACTAAGGCTCAAGAACTCGTAGCGTGACTTGGTGAGCCCCACTGGCATGTTTTAGATCCTGACTCTGTGTTTTGCTCAGCGTCTGAGCATGAGCCTTCTTCACAGCACTGGGAGAAAAGTGCAGGTCTTTGTGTCACCAATTTATGACACTTGTCAAATGGCAATACCAGCTGTTAAGGTGGTGAAGCAGACGGGAGCTGATGCTTCAGGTCTCAGCAGTGGCAATACAGCCTGAGGTCACTTGTGCACCTGTGTGAATGCAGAGATGGCAAAGGGCTGTGCTGGGCAGCAGCAGAAATGATGGACTCCAGCTTCCTCCCAGCAAACCCCTTTGAAAACCCCAAGTACCCAGTGAGCCCTCTGCAGCTGTTGCTGCTTGGACGCAGCGTCTGAAGGGCGGCACTGGGGGATCAGGGCCGAGCTGCCTCAGCCTGTGCCCAGCTTTGGCACTGTGGCAGCCGCTGCTGGCTCCCGGGGCCTCCCTGCCAGCACCCGGAGCTGCAGCCGCCTCCATGGGACCTGGCGGGGGCCAGGGGCGAGCCCAGCCCCAGCCCTCCGTGTCCCCGTCCCCCCCCCCCCCCCGGCTCAGCGCTGGCCCTGTTACTCAGCACCGGTTGCGGGTGCTCCCGCAGAGGCTGTGCCGGGGGTCCCGGAGGGCGGTGCGGGCGGGCTGCGGGCAGCAGAGCAGCCGGGGCCGCACCCTCCCGCCCGCACACTGCAGCTGCCGCCTGGTGTTGAACGCGCTCCTCCGCTGCCCCCGGAGCCGGCTCTGGGTGTGCCGCGGGGTGCGCGCTGAGGCCGCCCCTCTCCAGCCCCGGTGCGAGGAAGCCCCCAGCAGCCCGGTCCGAGCCAGCGTCTGACCCTGGACCAGAGACCTCCCGGGGCCTCTTCCCCACGGGATCACCGTGTGAGCCTGCCACAGCGGGTCAGGAACTCCCCTCTCAGCTTGAGCTGTGCCACTGCCTCAGCAGTGCTGGCTCACCCGGCTCGGCCCCGCTGGCAGGTGCTGTGCACCGGGCTGGCTGGAAAAGTTGCCTGAGGATCCAAAACATTCCTGTTCCGCATGGGGCTGGGGACTGACCTATCCATGCCAGTACCAACTGGAGGGTGGGGACGTGAGACAGGTTCCTGGACGCAGGATGGGGGACTTGGTCTGCCACACACACACAAACATTCCCATTGGAAGTTTCACTTTGAACAAATTACTACTATTTTCCAACAATGAACGCCTCAACAGCAAGTTCCCAGCCAGGTCCAGGTCCGGGTCCCTGGGTCACCAGCACCGATGGGGAGGCCGAGGGGCGAAGATACCTCCTCCTCCTCCCTCTGCCCTTGAGCCTGAGGCACTCCCCGCTGCCCGCTCCCCTGCTTCGTGTCCTTCCTGCAGGATGGACGTGCCTGCTGGTACATCCCCTCCATGGGCTGCACGGGGCGAGTGACGGCAGCTGGGGACAGGGCACAAGAGGGAAGGAAGGAAGGAAAGAAGGGACATTCCTCTGCAGGCAGGCAGGCAGGCAGCTGGGGCTGTGCTTATCCGGGCCGGGAGGCAGCAGTGGCTGCCGTGCCTCTGAGGGGTGCAGCTGGGGCGCACGTTTCCCGTCTCTCCCCACCGGAGCCGCTGCCGCGTGGCAGGCACGGGCGCCTGCGGAGCCACCTCCATCCCTCCCTGCGTGCGGAGCCAGCGGCAGCCAGGCCTCACCTCCCGTAACCCCGGCAGCCTGGATCGGCACAGCTGAAATTTTCCACTTGAGACACATGCGAGACCAGAATAGAATTCCAGGCGGGTGGGTTTTCGCTTGCTAGCTAGAGGAAAGCCAGAGCAGTGCTTTACAGTGTTCGCTCTTAACGCATCCTCCAGATGGCTTTAGGGAGTCCCTGTTGCACAGGCAGCTCCCCTGTTGCAGGGGAGAGCCCCCGGGTTCCAGTGTGCTATGCTTGGCGCCTGGCTCAGCCACTGCTCCCCGGCAGTCCCAGCCCTTCATCCCCAGGGGCTGGTGAGCCTGGTCCCGTGGAACCACAACACAGCTCTCCCACAGTCCTAGCCCTTCATCCCCATGGGCTGGTGAGCCTGGTCCCGTGGAACCACAACACCGTTCTCCCACAGCCCGGCGGCAGCAGCTGTCAGGGGGTGGGATCCTGCCGGGGTGCATGCAGGCAGCGCAGGGATGGGCTGCCAGAGGCAGGGACAGGAGAGGGGTTCCCAGCTCCAGCTCAGCTCCCAGAGCAGTGTCTTCTTTGGTGGCTCATGAAAACAATCAAACCCGCAAAGTGAAGCTGGTTTAGCTCAGTGCATCCTGGTGGCTGCTCCCCTGCTCCTGCCAAATCTGCAGCCTGCCTCTCACCTGTGCTGCGAAGCGCTGGACCCTGCTGCACCCACAGCACACCCCATCCACATCCACATGGGCACCCACCGCCGCGAGCTGCTGCTGCTCTGCCTGCATGGAGCCAAGGCTTTGCAGGGTGCTGCCTGCCTGGGCATTCTGTGCACTTCACCCATCTCAAACTCCAGCAGGCTGTCAGCAAGCTGAGAGGAGCCACCCGCAGCCTGCATTGGCATGTGAAGCCCAGCAGTACTCTTGCTGCCCACTGCCATGGCCAGCTCTGGCTCCAGGCCGTGGTGCTCAGCTCTCCATTCACTGGTGCTGCTCACCTGGCTGTGAGCACTGGGGCTGTGGCTACGGTACAGCCCTGCACAGCCACACAGAGCACACAGTCACTGACAACCATGAGGCAATCACCCTGCTCAGAACAGGGAGTTTCTTTGCCATCCAATCTTCATTAAGCCTGCAGCCAATTATTTTGGATGCAGCTTGAGCACTGCAGGAGACCACTCCAGATGTGCCATGGGCGG